TATTATTGTTTAAGGTGAACCAAAGAAGACTGTAAGTAACAAAACACAGAGACTAACTACAAATTAACTGGACAAACATTGGCCCTGTGAAATGACATTTACAGCGTAAAATGGCATGCGTGCTGCCTCATGTATTCATACAAACGTTGGCAGGCTGACGCGTGGACTCTTTTCTTTCTGCTTCTGTGGGTGTCTCCATGTGGAGCAGAAGACAGGAAGTTTTCCGTGTTTCCCGTCCACCCCCCTGTGTCCCTGGACGGGGTCCTCGATAAGTGCTTTTTGTCCTGCTTCCCCCACCCCGGCCTCCCCCCCTGATTGATTTAGTAATGAGAGACTGAATCCTGATTTGCACAATGTGTGCGACTCTCACAAGATGATTTAGTGTTTAGTGATCTCTGAAGGGGGACGTACTGAGATATGAGCCGTGGAAGGAATTGTTGAAACATCCAGCGGCAAAACAATCAAACCATCGCAGCTGTTAAAAAAACTCACTGCCTGAATATTAGACACTGGATAGAAACATAGCAGGTCAGAGAGGACAGCGTGCTGCAGAGAGATACGCGTGTGGCTACTGAGCATCGTTATCACGTGTGTCCATAGACGTGCTTTCGGGTGTGTTTAGAGATTGACTGGACAGCAGGGCGGATCATCTCAACTCCTTCTGCAAAGTACTTCTGTTTGCTAAAATCAGCATATGTCTTTTATGCTGTCAATTACTTTTTAGAATTAAAATCTCATTTATTCAAATATCCCTTTAAAAGAAACTAGTGCGGCAACAATCCAACTTTCCAATGAGGACTCATGTGATTAAACACATTGTAATGTTAACAAACCAGGTGCTTATCAACAGCAGTATTCCCTTACTTCCCTAATAAATACTTATTGTAAATATCAACTTAAACTTATTAATCAAATATAAAACTTAAATCTATTTGCCTCCGACAGGGCATTAAGGCTTTATCTATATTGTCATAGACAAACCGGTTACCCTCCACGGTCATAACATTATTACATCATCAGCATAACGTATGTAGTGAAAAGCGGCTGATTTAGGACCCAGTGCCGTTCATTGATTCCTGTGAAAAATAGACAGGATGTTTGGAGGGTAGAGGTCAAGTTGGATTTGTATACGTGTTATTGGCATAATCTGTATTTAATACACCAACAGTAAGCAACTACGAACACTGGAGGGAAGAGACGAAGAGAAAGGGAATGAATGTGAATTTGGACGCGCTTTGTTTAGTTTCCTGCAGCTTAAAACCAGAACAGCCACATCAATACACTGGACACTAAACAATACTCTTCTGTTTGCGTTCAAGAGTATCGCTTATTCTCACAATATCGTTGTGCACATTAGGGTGTGTAATACAGGTTAAATGTAAATATGGACTTGTGGATCCCTGTTTCAGAGACTCCTCAGACAACGAACGTGTGTTTCATGGTGCAGAGACAAACTAAAGAGATTAAAACAGCAGCCAGACAGGAGACATGACCTTTACTGTTTACAATGTGTTATATGCTTCAACAACTGGATCAAATAAAATGCTACTTGGTTGATTATTTTTGTTCTTTTGTGTTGCAGAGATTAAGTATTGAGAATCATGTAATAACTATTTCATGAAGCAACTCAGAGACAGAAAGATGGAGGGAGATAAACAAGTCAAGTCAAGTCAAGTCAAGTCATTTTATTTTGTATAGCCCAAAATCGCAAATTACAAATTTGCCTCAGAGGGTTTTACAGTCTGTACACATACAACATCCTCTGCCCCGAAACCCTCCATCGACACAGGAAAAACTCCCCAAAAAATGAAAAAACCCTTACAAGAGGGGAAAAAAGGGAAGAAACCTTAGGGAGAACGTCAGAGGAGGATCCCACTCCCGGGATGGACAGACTACAATGGATGCCATGTGTACAGAATGAACAATGTATAATACATGCAATTCCTATGACAGAAATGATTCAAGTAATTGTGAGTAGTAAGCCAGGCGCACAGCAGGACCACTGCAGGGGCAACCACCATCAGATAGAACCACCATCCACAGAAGCCTGTGGGGAGGGAGAGCACAGAGACTTTAGGAGAGGGTAATGTTGGTTTATGATTACAGTAATATGATTAATATCTAAAATAATGATGATGATGATGGCAGCAGCAGGCGTCAGCAGGGCCACGGTAGGTGTCAGGACCAGGGTCCCGAAGGAACCACGATCTACGGAGACCTGCTAGGGGAGAAAGCACAAAAAAAACTCCCGGAAAGAAGCTGAATTAGTCATGTGCATTAATAAAATGTGAATTATGGTAGAACAAGAGCGTGCGAGAGGAGCTTGGTGTGTCCTAAGAATTCCCCCGGCATTCTAAGCCTATAGCAGCTTAACTAAGGGCTGGTCCGGGCTAACCTGAGCCAGCCCTAACTATAGGCAGAATCAAAGAGGAACGTTTTAAGTTTTACTTTAAAAGAGCTGACCGAATCTGCCCCCCGGACTGAAAGTGGAACCTGGTTCCACAAAAGGGGAGCTTGATAACTGAAGGCTCTGGACCCCAGCCTACTTTTTAAAACCATAGGAACAACAAGTAACCAGCATCTATTGAGCGCAGCTGCCTTGTAGGGCAATACGGGGTTACAAGCTCTTACAGATACAACGGTGCCTCACCAGCAAGTGCCTTGTAGGTGAGGAGAAGTACCTTAAAATCTATTCTTGATTTAACAGGGAGCCAGTGCAGAGAAGTTCATACAGGAGTGATATGATCCCTTTTCTTAGTTCTAGTTAATACACGTGCTGCAGCATTCTGAATCACCTGGAGAGGCTTAAGAGATTTACAAGAGCAGCTGATAACAAAGAATTACAGTAGTCCAGTCTGGAAGTGACAAACGCATGAACTAATTTTTCTGCATCACTTTGAGACAGGAAGTTCCTGATTTTTGATATGTTACGTAGATGAAAATAGGTAGTCCTTGAAGTCTTCTTTATATGCGAGTTGAAGGTCATATCCTGGTCGAAGATTCCTCCCAGATTCCTGACGGTGCTGCAGGGTACCAGAGCAATTCCATCCATAAAAACTGTATCACGTGACAGCTGGCTTCGAAGGCGCTCTGGGCCTATCAGGATAACTTACGTTTTTTCTGAGTTTAGCATCAGGAAGTTGCCGGTCATCCAAGTTTTGATGTCTCCAAGACATTCTTGAAGTCTAACTAGCTGGTCCGTCTCTTCTGGCTTGATCGACAGATACAGTTGAGTATCGTCTGCATAACAATGGAAGTTTATGCGTTGTTTCCTGATAAGATCGCCCAAAGGAAGCATATAGAGGGTAAATAAGATCGGTCCAAGTACAGAACCTTGTGGGACTCCATGACCAACATTGGTGGTCTTTGAGGATTCACCGTTTACAAGCACAAACGGGGGATCGGTCCGATAGGTAGGATTTAAACCAGCTGAGTGCAGTTCCTTTGATACCAATAAAATGTTCTAGTCTCTGCAACAGGATACAATGGTCTATGGTATCAAATGCGGCACTGAGGTCCAGCAAGACAAGAAGAGATGAGTCCTTGGTCCGATGCAAGAAGAATGAGCTTGTAAGTCAGTCAAGGGAACGCTGTGAATGCGTGAACCAAATAAGTGAACGTAGAGTTTGAGTGTACGAATGCAGCCTTGCTATTGCCTCTCTTGGTTTAAGAAATCGGCTACTTTGTCATTTCTTCCGACTTGTGGAGGTACAAATGTAACGTTTGTACTCACTAAAGGTACATTTTCTACAAGGTTTTGGTTGAATCTCTGGCAAACATCAATGGGTTACAGTAATAATTTGATATTTGTTTTCTTTAGGTGGATAATTCTTGTGTTCCAATGTTATTGGAAAAAAGATGAGGAAGTCACCTTAACATCATGTTACATCTTCTAAGAGCAGAGAAAAAAAATCCAGATTTGTTGTCATGGGCTGTGATTAAAGGACATTTTCACTGGATATTCCATGTGTGTCGAGGTTGAAAGTCACAGCACATTACGGGACTCGAGACCAAATTTCATCCGCTATCAACATTTGATTATCATCGATTAAATGAGTAAATGTGTGGAGTAAGAGGCAATTCTGCAGTCCATGACATTTGAGCAGTGATACATACAGTTAAACTGTTGTCCACATTGGGCGACACAGACCACTTTCTTCACCTACTGCAGGGACATGGAGCACTTCCTCCAGCAGCATGATCACAAGGACAGATACAGGGAAACATTCAGACTTTACAACACCTCTGGCTAAATCCTCGTTTATTTGAACAACAACACTACTGTCTCAATTTAATTTTCTAATTTAATTTACCACATATTCCACTGTACATTCTCCTTTCACTTAATTTAATATGTTCTGTTCTGCTACATATTCTACTGTACTGTGTATATATTGTGCATTTCTCACCTTATGTACTGTACTGCTGCTATTGCACACACATTTATATCTATCTGTACAGTGTTAACATTGTTAAAGACACGCCTGATATCCTGTTGTTATATTAACATTCATGCCTGTATGTTTTTTCCTGCCAGTGTTCATGTTTTATTGTGTCACATGATCAGTTGTGTGTCTGGTGACTTGAACTTGGCCAAATGAAGGGCTAACGATGTGTAAACCTCTCACCTCCTCTCGCTCACTGTGATCTCAACAGGCTGAGATTAGTCCAGACCTTAACCCTTGCTGAGCCAGTAATTATCTCTGCATGTGTTTAATAAGAGGAAATAAACCTGTATTTATTTCTCTACTTGGCGGATTGGCTCAATTCGCAACAAGCCTGCAGCACCTGATAAAATGTCCTTTGTTGTAACAGATGTATGTGCAAGTGGAATACAGCTGTGGAGCTTCCTGTTCTTAGAGAACATGCTCTTTTTTCAATATGGTTTCATTGGTTCTGTGTCTTTTTCAGGACCCGTGTTTTAAGAGGATACCGTGTTTGCTGGGAGCTCATAATGTAAAGTGAATGCTATTGTTTGACTGTGGTGTTTGTCTTTGCAGCTTGTCTTGTTCGCTACAACATCCTGTCACTGCTTCACTTCCTCTACCTGCTGCTGCTGCCATTGTTCCTAAGTCCCAACCAGCACACCATCAGAGGTGAGATCATCGTTCATATCTCAAATCTTATTATCGCTCTCACACATACATTCCTACCACTACACTACAATACATTCAATGCATATTAATTCGTATATTGGTAAGCAGAATACCAATTTAAAATGACTAATAAAAAAACTGTGTATTGGATAAAGTTAGCAATGATAACAAAATGAGAAATGGTGTCAGCAATAGTAATATGATCATTAATGATAATGACAGCAGCAGTGGATGTCAGACAGGACCACTGCAACAACCACCGTCAGATAGGACCACCGTCAGATAGGACCACCGTCAGATAGGACCACCGTCAGATACGACCACCGTCAGATAGGACCACCGTCAGATACGACCACCGTCAGATAGGACCACCGTCAGATACGACCACCGTCAGATACGACCACCGTCAGCTAGGACCACCGTCAGATAGGACCACCGTCAGATACGACCACCGTCAGCTAGGACCACCGTCAGCTAGGACCACCGTCAGATAGGACCACCGTCAGATACGACCACCGTCAGCTAGGACCACCGTCAGCTAGGACCACCGTCAGATAGAACCACCGTCAGATAGGACCACCGTCAGATAGAACCACCGTCAGATAGGACCACCGTCAGATAGGACCACCGTCAGATAGGACCACCGTCAGATAGGACCACCGTCAGATAGAACCACCGTCAGATAGGACCACCGTCAGATAGGACCACCGTCAGATAGGACCACCGTCAGCTAGGACCACGTCAGATAGGACCACCGTCAGATAGGACCACCGTCAGATACGACCACCGTCAGATAGGACCACCGTCAGATAGGACCACCGTCAGATAGGACCACCGTCAGATAGGATCACCGTCAGATACGACCACCGTCAGATAGATTTTTTTTTTTTATGACCCCCATGATTTACAAATGGATTTTACATTCATGGCACATTTTCTCAATACTGCCTTTTATTGTATGCAAGTATTGTTTTTTTTTTTTCTTTGTTAACTAGCTTTCAACTACTAAAACCACCATTATTTACATCTATTTGTAGCATCCAATTTGTTTCAGTTCACTTCATTACTTGTCTCTGTTCACACTGCCTCTTCTTTACTGTTCACTGTGTTGTTTAATCTTAGATTGTTGTCTCGACCAGTATTAATTATGATTAAGAGTTTAACTCCAAATCAATTTCATCCAAGTGCTGTATTGAACCCTTTTCTAATGGCTCAGGTAAGAAAGGCTCACACGTACTACGTATCATCATAGCACAGTCAGTCAAACAAAAGATTACGTTCATGAAGGCAAAACATACTGAAAGGCTTAGCGTGCTTCGGCAAAAACTCAGTCTCACTCAAATCAGTTACTAAATGACCATCATGCTGCATTGAAGAGGACTTGAAACTACAGATCGAGACCATGAACTCATGTTTACAATGTTTAATGAGGGAATAAATCAAGAGTAGGGTCCTTTTCTCATTTCTGCAACCAGAAGGGTCACTGCCTGTTGGCTATATGAAGTAAAGCACATTTGAGGTTTCCATTTCATGCAATTTTATACTTCTACTGTAATTCTTAGAGACGTATCTAATATAAAGTATAGCTGTACAAAAATGATATATATATAATGCATTGTTATGAATTCTGTTAACCAACTGCATAGTAGAAATTAGCCTTGAGACTTCAATCAATGGTACAAAAACTCTGAGTTTGTTTTCTGGGTTTGATTAGTTCTGTTTGGTTTGTAATGTTAAGCTGAGCAGGCAGTGGAGATAGTCAGAGGGTTACTGTTGTTGGTGCCGATCCAACAAGGAGCTGGCGAGGCAGGCAGACTGACTTCACTGACTGGGGAGTGTTAACAGGAACGTGGAACAGAAAATAATTCCAAAAAACACTTCTTAGGCCGGAGCCCACAGCTACGGCTGTGCACAGTGTGCTGAGGACAGGGAGGGAAGCCAGCGTTTGTGTTCTACAGCCGTGGATTAGATGATGACGCCCACTCACACCCCCGACCAACACACAGCAAGACCAGAGGAGACACGGTGGAAAGGGACACAGAAACCCAATGCAGATGGTGTTTCACTACGTTGGTCAATGTTTCTATGATAGGAAAATCCCTTTTGATATTTTCAGTATATGTCAGGGATGCGGGTGGGAGGCAGGACTCAAACGCAGACTTGTCAGGAAAACAAAAGACTTTAATAGTCAAAAGGCCAAAAACACAGGAACTGGGAGGAAAAACAGCAGGCAAGAAACTACAGACATCCACAACAAGAGACAATGACGCGACAAGTGACACAGGAGACACACGGCTTAAATACACAAGGGAGGTGCAGGTGATTGGACACAGGTGGAAACTATTAAGACGATCACAGGGGATGACGGGACAAGGCAGGAAGTGAAGTTACCCGGGGACACGAGTGGCAGAAAATTACAAAATATAACAGGAAGTGAACCACACCGTGACAGTATATTACTGATACTTTCGTACTTAACTTAAATAACATTTTCATCGTAACATCTCAGGGCTTTACCATGTAATGGAGTTTTACATATTGTCATATAGTTTAAATAAGTGAAGATGAATACTCCGTCCTTGGTATCATTTAGGACACAGTCACTGAGAATACTTACTCCGACGATTAGATAAGTGCCGCTTTCAGTCGTTCGCCTGATGTTTTCCACAATGTTGGAATGACCTGTAATCATTGGTCCCAGTTCATAGATCCTTTTCCATTCCTCCGTCTCTTCCCATCATCCACTTGCTTTATTCAAAAGTCTACAGACGCTTTTATTTTGGTGGGACAACAGTTAAAGGGAGAAAGGGGGGAACAGAGAGCAACAGGGAGTTCCCCTAAAGGAAAACCCACCGGCTGCCAAGACCCTGACGCACGCACACACACGGTCATAAGCACATGCATAGACACACACACAAAGCACTGTCGGGCTCGGGTTAATAGACAGATCAACTGCGTGTGTTCAAGTGTGATCAGTACTACAACTCAGGCATACGTTTCTTATGCTTAGTGCTCCTGTTACGAGGGTATCGAAAGTGTTTAAGTTCAACCATAGTGATTATTCTTAAAGCCTGCGTATGGTCCTCAGAAATATCTCCATAAAGTCAGGGATGCGATCTTTTCCTTTGTCTCGCCTTTATTCCATAAAATCCACAACACATACATTAAAGGTTGTCTGCCGTCCTATAAAGTGCTGTCTCACTGTCTCAAACATTTGTCACCCAGGTGCATGCTGGTCCCACCCGACTATGCCCCTAAGTAACCTCCAGGTGCCCACAGCATCACCCAATTAGTGATCCAATTACCCAAACAATCAAGCCAACTATATTCAAGAATAAATAACTAAATAATGGCTGAATGATGCATTCGGATTCTGAATTTGAGCAAAGGTACAAAGGGACGTCTGGAATACACAAATATATGTAAATCCTGGAAAAATATAAATTCTCAAATAAATTATTACAAGGTCAGAAAACATAGCAATGGAATGTGTGTGAGAAACATACATGCTGTTCGGGTCAAACTCTCACACAAGCACACACACACACACACACACACACACACACACACACACACACACACACACACACACACACACACACACACACACCACATGAATGATTACCAGTTGTTTTCATTGTAGTCTTGTTTTTGTATAATAGTTGTTGTTTTAGTGACCTCATCTTGAGAATTGAATTAACGGTTAGTTTAATCTTTTGTAATTACTTTGTCCATTTGCATTGTGATAACAGCTGGATGTTGAGCCTGTGCTTGAATTCAGACTTTCCCTTTACACTCTTAGTGGAATAGTTCTTGACACATTAAGTGAACACCAATAACACAACTCAATTTGCAGTTTGGTTATTGTTCTACGATCCGAGGAAGGCGCTACTATTATTGTCATTTGTCAATTGTCTTATACGTTTAGTTTTCATACTTGCATCGTAGCGCGTGCACAACCCTGTAATCTAGTTAGTTCTGTGTGCCGTTAACATACAGACTCTCCCCTAGTTAAGATTTCTTTGGGCTTTATTGAAACATTTATTGCGGAGGTTAGTGAGTCTCTCACCCTGTTTTACTGGGCACAAACAAACGTATACACGAGGCTGCTGGAAGCCTTTTAACTGCGCATCTCCTCACAACATGTCCCAGGTTTCCTTTTGTGAATTACACCTCACCCTAAATCCTTATACATGTGTAATGGGTGGGAGATTATGGGCCCTTCCTTGGACATAATCATCCTTTTTGTCAGACCTGGGTTTAAGAGAGGACTCTTACAGCAGAAGGATGAACAGAATAGGCCGTCTTCATTTGGCTCAAAAACTCAAAATCGCTCCATTAGGAGGAAAACTAAAAACTATCAACAGGCTCGAGGATATAATTCAGAAAACGGAGACTAGAAAGGGAACGAGGCGAGGCAAGACCAGACAGGACGAGGCCCGGGCAGGAGAACGGTCGCTACACTCCGGCACCAGGGAAAGGGAGACGCAGACTATAAGACAAACCGGTGGACACAATCAGGAACCAGGGGAGACGATTCAACTGGTGACACATGAGGGGCAAGTGACCTGAAACGAGAGGAAGGTTAGTCTTTCAAAATAAAACAGGAAATGACAAGGCAGGGAGACGGGCGGTGAGTCGGTATCCGTGTCAGAAGTGCTTTTTAATCAGAAAAGCTTTGTTTGTTGGCGTTCACTATATGTGTTGTTTGACTGAGATCTCACGTATTCTGTATTCATGTGACATTTGACTGTACATTGAGTGCATCCATCTCCATCCCTGTCTTTCTTTTCTCTTTGTCTTCCAGGTCACACAGGACGGTTCATCCGAGTGGTTTTCTGTACCAGTCTGCTATTTGTACTGGCTCATATCTGCTTCCAGACACTTCTATACACATATCCTCCTCTCAGCATTGCCATTGGTGATAACTGTTCACAATGGGACACCATAAGCAGACATATAGGACTGTCCAGGTAAGTTACACGTGAGGCACACGTTTTATGCCGCCGTCAAGACGATCTGTACAAATTTGATATGCCCATATATTTGGTCATTGAGAAAGGAGACCAGTTTAATATGATCTGCCATCACAGAGAGGAGACGTGTAGAATATATATATATATATATATATCTTTGAACTCCCATGACCTTGACATATGCATGTGTGTGTCTTGTAGGCTTCCTCTGGATGACCCTTGGAGTGTGTTACGCCTTCTGGTTCCTGACCTGGGTGTGTGCGTTGTTGCCTTGACAACGCTCGTCCTTTGCAGCAGATTGGTCAGGAACAGAGAAACGGTGGCGGCTGCCAACATTACATCGGTGAGGCGTGTGCATGCACGCAAGACTGTGATACAGTGCGGACCCTTTGAGTAAATATGTGGCTGAGCTGTTTTATGAAGAAAGTTACCGGGTGATCAGGGTCGTAAGCCTAATTTACTTAAGTAACCATTCCGAAAACCACTTGATCGTTAAAATACAAAATGAGCAGACAAGAAATGCTTTCGAACCGGGGGACATGAGCCAGTCTCGGGGTTCTGTCCGTCCTATCCCGTTCATACAGTTTCACCGCGAGAGAGCAAAATGCTGCCGGCTGTGGAGCAGCAGCGAAGACGCTGTGATATCCCGTCTTCCCACCGCCAGACCTTCCACCGGCAGAGAGGAACAGGGGAAAGTCTGCTTCCAATCCCATGTGGAGATTATCAGGGAGGAGACACATGAGATTAGATGCATATGCTTCATTGTTTACACCTCAAAGTCTCAGACCCATTGTTAATATTTTTTTATAATCAAAACTTCCCAATATTATTAGAACAAACTGTTATAATTCTGATCTGGTTTCATTTCAACGTATTCAATGATATCTTATAAATCCTCCTTTAGCACAGTATGGTTCACAGTAATGAACAGGACTTCGGTCCGTAAAATACAAAACAGAAATAACATTTTGCTTTGTTATTTTTCTCAATATCAGATCAACAAACAAATAATTAAGATCAACAAATGTCTAATAAAAAATAGATTAAATATCTGTTTGAAAGATATTCACAAATTGCTTTAATTTATTTTAGAAGGTATTCACGGATAGTGGTTTTGTTCTCGAGGGCGGCCTCACTCCTTTGTTCTCGTCCCGGCCGGAAACGAAGAATCAAAAGAGTCAGCTTGCTTAAATTCAAAAGTCAAAAAGTATTTAATAACTAAACAACGTTATAAGGAATGCAATTACAAAGTGAAATACAAAGCGAACAGTAAAATATTTTGCGAAATAGAGAATCCTCTGAGCAAGTCTACAGTGACTTATCAAAGCGGCTGCAGGAGAATTCTAACAGTCCTTTTCCCCGCTTTGGTCCTTTGAAAACTCTTGAGGTGTCTTCTTGGGTGCATTTGAATGTCATTGGCTTCTTCTTCAGAGTGTCCCCTCCTGGACTGTCCCCTTCACATCAAGGTGTGAAGCTGCAGCTGTAACCTGAAACCTCTCTGTCCTGTCTGTCCCTCACATTCTAATGCAACACATTCAATGTAGATTCAGTTGGCTTTATGCCTCTATGAGTGAATATAACAAAGCATACATCGTTTAAGACTTCATCTTATAACTAGTACACCTTCATTACAACACATCATTAATGATCACCGTTCATCACACTTCATCATAAGATCTAAGACAGTTCATGTGGTCCAATTCTTAAGACATTTGCCTCAGTCGGCTGCCTTACATTAAGTTGTTCATTTACTACCTGGCAGGAGAAAAAACTCCCAAAAAACCCTCTTTGGGGATAAAATTGGGAGAAATCCATAAAGGACGGCAATTGGCATCCGTCCCCAGGTTTTAACATCACATTGTGACAGAATGTTAATGTGTACAGTGTTTATACGATTTAAATGACTATAACTTGTGTTTGATTGAAATTGGATTCACTTCATCTAACATGTTAATGTAATAACCAATATCTAACATCACAAACTACAATTCTAGCACTAAACATTATTACACGTATTATAATTCCATGACTAGGGGTGCACTTCTGGCTTTGTGTATTTGTAGATGTATTTATTGTTCTTGCATGTCACGTACACTCTTGTGCAGTCACTGCACTTGCACGGTCATTAAATGAAGAAAACATAATCGAATGTGAGACGGCCGTGTACTATGATAACTAACTTCATATCGGTTCCTTTCCCACCTCAGCTTGAAGATGATTCAGAAGAAGAAAACACAGATGAGGAGGAGCATGAGGAGGATGAAGAGAAAGAGGCATCAGAAGATGAAGATGGAGAAGAAAGCTCATTAGCTGGTGACCCTGATGAGGACGTTTCCACAGCAACCAGAGCCAAGCAGCTGGCTGAGCGCCTGAAGACCAAAGCTCGCAAAGTGCTGCGGGACCTCTGGAAGATGTTGGCCATCGGCCTGCTGGCGTTGGCTGGTAGGATCTGCGTTACAACAGCACTTCCTCAGGTTCACACATGTTACACAACACAGGGACACGGACACATTCATATCTAGAGACATTTCAAAATGATAAATATGCATAAACACCAGGTGCTACCAAACAATGCTACCAAATAAGTTCCAACCATTTCTGTAAGTATCTGATGTCGTCCTTCTTCCTCCCAGGCATCACGCTGCCCTCGGCCTTCTCAGCCATCTACTTCCTGCTTTTCATTGGCGTGTGCACATGGTGGGCGTGCCACCTTCCCATCAGTCACTTGGGTTTCAACGCACTGTGTGTGATGGTGGGCTTCTTCACGGCTGGTCACATGGTTTGTCTGTATGTGTACCAGAGTCTGCTGGTCCAGGCCCTGTTCCCCCCACGCAGCCTGTGGGCCAGGTAAGACCCGCCCACTGTGCATGCAACCATGCAATGTTTGAACTACAATGAGCTGTATTTCAGTACACTAGTATTGATTGAATGTCATAATCATCTGATGTAGTGATTTCAACCACTTCATTACCATGCTGAGAATACTATGTATATAGTATATAGGTGTCTGGGGGTGTCAGCTTGACTACACACCACTGTTATGATCAGCTTTAGATACTCATGAGTCACTGCAAAGCGAAAGAACATCCCCCCTACTGTGCTTGGGCAGTTTTCTTGCTGGTTACAAAAGGTGGTTCTCAGACGCCCGGTATTCATGTTTGTTGCCCAACATTGGTGTCTATAACTGTAGACAAAAGTTGACTGGATGGTCAGATTACAGCATGGAAGAAAGCTGCAGACAGTTTTTCACAGCAGGGCCGAGATCCTCCTCGAGGAACTGGCACGCGGTCGTCAGTAAACCTGTGGCAGCTCAGTGGCAGGCGTCACAACTGCGAGCTGAGAAGGCGGAGCCACATTTTCTGACAATGTCTATGTTTGTACGACAGGTCAGCTGCCGTAAATCAGTTTTATGGTCTTAGTTGTGACACCTGAGACACCCGTTCTCTTGGTGTACTTTTTTGTTTCTCAAACATTTTATTTAAGTTTGATTTAGCTGGTTTTGTTACAAAGGTGATTATAATACACATATAATTACTTTTATAGTAATTTACAACAATCGGATAATATTGAAAATAAATCATCCATTTGCTTATCATTTAAAAGCACATTTTTTAGTGACTCCTCACTGACTACTCTGTTGCTCCTCACTGACTCCTCACTGACCCCTCACTGACTCATTACATTACATTACAGGTCATTTAGCAGACGCTTTTATCCAAAGCGACTTACATTACACTTTAAACCCATGGCTTTTTCACATTTTTGCCCAGGGAGCAATTAGGTGTTAGGTGTCTTGCTCAGGGACACTTCAACATGGAACATGGGGAAGCCTGGAATCGAACCACCAACCTTGTGCTTCCCAGCACACCTTCTCTAACCCCTGCGCCACGACGACTCCTCAGTGACTCCTCAGTGACTGCTCACTGACTCCTCACTGACTCCTCAGTGACTGCTCACTGACTCCTCACTGACTCCTCAGTGACTCCTCAGTGACTGCTCACTGACTCCTCACTGACTCCTCACTGACTCCTCACTGACTCCTCAGTGACTGCTCACTGACTCCTCACTGACTCGTCACTGACTCCTCAGTGACTGACTCCTCAGGGACACTCCTCTAGTGATGACCCAGTGATGCCTCTTCACTGCGCCCATCTTCCTAGCTGTCTTCACACTTCGAACACACGCGGAGCTCTTTGGGCTTGAAGCTCATGTTCCTTCCTCCCAGGAAACCATTAATGTCTATTAATAGAGTGTGTAGCTTGCAATGCGGAATGTGCGTGTGAGGTTAAAGAGAGGGAAACAGAATGTGTATGTCAGAGAAGGAGAGTGTTCTTTCTGGACTGGAACGACTAGCGAGCAGGTAGATGAACAGCTGACGTATAAAACTGAGCTAAAAGGCAGAAAGATGAACGAGAAGTGCAGCATTCTGCTATTAGGTAAAACCTCACCCTCTCCATAATAAAATAAAATGACTGATCTGTTCAGATGGTGTATTATTTTCTTGCTGTATATTAACATATCAATATTTGACAAATTTCATTCTAGCTTTTGATAAACATTTATCTCATCTCAACATGTAAAATACAACCCGAGTAAAATCATATTTTTTCTGTTTTCATCCTTAATAGTCCCAAGTGGGAAAGAGAGCGTACCTCAAAGCAGCATTAACATGATTCCTTTCATTTTTTTTTAAATATCAACCCTATTAGTATTGTTAGAAGTAGTACTTCTCTCCAATGTTTTCGCCACAAAAAGCAGATGTTTCGTTTCTCTTTGCATTTGGTCCTTTTGGGTCCTTGTTCCTGTTTGAAACTATATTGAAATTGTTACGTCTCGTGGAAAGAGAGAAAAAACATGATTCAATCGCACAAGCCGGGCAGAAAAACGGGCTGTACTAACAGATCAGATTTGGGTAACAGGTAGGTAGTCAGCACAGGAACACAAATCAGGAAGGGATCAGGCAATAAACTAGAAGAAACAGGAAAAGATGTGGAAACGTGGAACGTTACACACAGGACGGGGAACAAAGGGTTCAGGTCCGCCACGGAGGGTTAGCTGAGTGGATTCTATCCCCACAGTGGTGGAAAACACACAGAGGCAGGATGTGGAGAAAAACGAGAGGAGAGGCAAATAACAAAAAAAGAAAGGAAGTACAGAACAGAATGAGACGTGACGGAGAGAGATGAAGCAAACACGTCAAAGGCAGGAAGGCACAAGATGAAACCAGACCAGACCAAGAACATGAACAGGATATGTGGATCGCCCCACACGAGTCATCGTTTACCAAACGAATAATGTAGAGATGAGCCGACTTTATAACGCTTCGATCACCTGAGCCAGCTTGGCTTTTCTGAATGGAGCGATGTGCTCGAGCACAAAGCGAGACTCCACCATGTGAGCAGCCTTTTATGGGCGACATCGCAGTGCATGAACCTCAGACACATGTGATGCACTGAGAGCTTTCTGTGAGAAACAAAGCACCAGGAAACCACGTCTCCACCGCCGCGTTCTAGACGTTCATGGAGGTGAAGGAATACCCACAGGGGAGTCGTCTCACTGATGCAAAAGCCAAGAAAAGAGTCCAAACATCTGGCTCTGCTACATGTGCATATATAATGGATTCTCCCTGAATATATTTAACCAATGCGCCCTCTGTCCCGTTTAAGCAACCTTGACCCTATTTGGCCCTCGCTGTAGTACCAGCAGACCATAACAGCATTTAGAATTTGATTTTGTCATTAGCTCCTGTTGTCTTTATCCCCAAATCTTCTAACTCTTTTTATTCTCATTTCTTCATTTATGTTCCTGTGTAGACTCTTTGGTCTGAAGGACATCATCATTCCAGGAAACTGCTCTTCACCCTATGACCTTAATCTTAATGCTGATCACGATTGGCCAGTTTACGTCAACCCGGGAATCCTGTTCCTCCTCTATATCACCATAGTAACAGTTCTCAAGACGGGGTGCCGTGAAACACCCAACCAGGTATCTGCTACTTCCTCATCATCTGTTACTCCCATTGACTTGTTCTTTGATCATAATTCCTAATTTAAAGTTTGTTGTTGTCAAAGCATAGTTGCATATGTTACATGTCTTTATTTGGTAAATAAGAACAATTCTGAGAGTGTGAACGTACTTCCGTTCTGGTCTTTGTATAGCAAGACGATTTTGAAGCAATTCTTACATCACTAAATAAATCTTTTGTATTATAGATTGTTTCCACTGTTTTGCCTTTGAAGCCAGATGCAGATAGAAAAGACAAGTCACAACGGTTTCTGATAAAGGTGTTTATTTCCATATTTCTGTGTCCAGCGGGGGAAGCAGCAGGACAAGATAGAAGATGAGGAGATGCTGGAGTTAAGGTCATTGAGTCCACAGGAAAAGGATTATGAAGATGACACAGAGGTAAATACTCATCTCGGTCTGTATTTAAGTCATTCAAATGTTCTTTAAGAAACGTCAATGAGAATGGAAAACTGTGAAATGTGAAAATGTGAAAAGTCCCATTCTCTCCTCAACTGCATTCACAGATGCGTGCTTGTCTGTTTCAGCTCATGCTTCTGTCCACGGCTGCAGAAACGGCTGGAGGGAAGGAGCCAGATCTGGGTAACAAATGCTGCATTCTCCATCTGTGTAACTTAAGCATACAAGTGCATGCCATTACATGGTTATTTAGATGGTTATGAAATCATTTGACAATTTGGGGAAAGTCATCAGGTTTGATGAACGCTGTATTTGTTAGTTGAGTCTCTCTCATATGGGCCAACAGGAAAATCCTGCACCCCCCACAGACAAATCTATTAACAGTTTTAAACATTAGAGTCTCGGCTACAATCTCCACTTATCCGTATGAAAATGCTCCAAACACAACAAGTTAGAAAACGTGTTTTCTAACGTGACTTCTAACTTGTCCGGAGACGTGCACCCGGCGAGGCGCATGTCCACTTCCCACTGACGCTGAGGAGAAAAGCGAGGCGTTGAATCTCTAGACGAGAGGACGCTGAACACAGAGATATCCGTACCACTTCCCCCAGACAAACCCCACTGCAGAGTAAAATAACCACGAATCAGAAGTGCCCCTCACCCTTTGACGTCTTCATCACATTCTGAATTGTAATGAGCGAGATGCGTCCTGCCGCCACCGTACGCGCCTCAGCGACCGTTCAGCGCCTTCTGCCCTCTTTCTAGGCTCATTTTACACTCGACCCGCTACGGGAGCCGTCGCTCAGACACATCAGACGATTCCAACAGGTTCACCAGAGCCGGACTTGGGAAAAGAATGCAGACATGAGACGGCACTAAGACCTCTTCCAGAGTAGTTTGTCTTCACTCTATCAGAGTAAAAGTGTCCATGAGTACTGTCCACACACATGTGTCTTGATACCGTTAGGGATTTCTTTTCATGCAATTGATTTATTTCTTCACCAGTAACCTACAAACTGATGGTTACACATCAGCACACTCTCAGGGGCTCCTGTCCAGATGAAGTAGATCCAGAGTTACTACACTTTTATCCTGCTATTCCACTTTTGGAGCAGAGGCCAAACACTTTGGGCCTTTCACAAGTTCTCTTTCTAAGTCCATATTTCTGTAGTATCAAAGGAATTAGCCACAATTAACATCGGTGTGACGTTAAACCAGGGACTACCAGTGGAAGACAGAGGCTTTAGGGGGACACTGAGGGATCAGGGTTTAAGGCTTTAGGGGGACACTGGAATTGGGCCGATCATATTTGCAGGAAGTACATTTTTTTTTAAACTAGATATGAAACAGAATACCCAAAGACGACGTCAATGTCAAAACCAGGTTTTCCCTGAAATGGATTGCTTGGATGTGGGAAGGCAGGGACATCTGAGGAAGACATCTGACAGGTCTAGAAAACAGTGTGTTCATCAGACAGGTTGGTGACGAAGGAACCAGCGTGTGTGCGTTTAACACACACGTGTGCAGCCTGCAGGGCCGCGTGCACACGCTGTCACTGCCAGAAGCATCTTCTTTCCATTCCACTGCTCCTCTGCTCTCCGTCCGGCGCTGACTTCCCAGATCAATTCACTGCTCGCTTCTTCTTTTATTGTATGTGTCGTTTCATGTATTAAGGTGATTGTTGTTTTGGCAGATGCTAGTGGCCCTCCCAGTGCTCCCAGTGGCCCTCCCAGTGCTCCCAGTGGCCCTCCCAGTGGCCCCCAGCAGAGCGAAAGCCCTTTTTTCCTGCTGGGAAAGGTGGTCATGCAGCAGAGCTACGTCTGTGCTCTCATAGCCATGATGGTAATTATCAACAATAAACCACGATCTCATACGTTTAGAATATTAGTTCATCACTCATAGACGACCAATGCAGTCGACCTTACCGTCTGCGTCATGAGTACAGTGAATAACGTCATTTTGAGGAGGCAGTCTCAATTTAATACTGATGAGGTAAATAAAACAATCAGCAAAATATTGTCAATTCATTCCTAACTGTCATCTTGGGCTTCGGTTTGGATTCTGCGTAAAATCAGAAGTTTCAAAGAAAGGTCTCCCAACACTTTAGTCCACAGACGGAGGCATCAACGCAGAGGAAAGCTGCTCGTAGTAACATCCTGTCTCTTCATGCCGATCGCTACTGTGACGCGTGGACTAAACAGCAACACAAGAGTGCCTCCACTCCTTCCTCACGCGCTGTGTCCATGTTGTCCAGGTTTGGAGCATCACATACCACAGCTGGCTGACCTTTGTGCTGCTGTTGTGGGCGTGTCTCATCTGGATGCTGCGGGCCAGGTAGCTGCACGGTGCTACATGTCACTCTCCCTGTGGATGCTCATATATGTGATCGGATCAGGAGATTCCTAAATGCATTCCTTGTGTTGGCCAATCAAAGCCCCACATGGAGTTGTAAGTTGATTCCAGCGCCCACTGCTCACTGTTTGCCGCGTTGTCGTGCAGGCGGCACGCAGCCACCCTGTGCTCTCCGTTCATCCTGCTCTACGGCCTGGCTCTGTGCTGCCTGCAGTACGTCTGGGCCATGGAGCTCCGGCCCGAGCTTCCCACCACCGTGGGCACCATGAGTCTGAGACAACTGGGACTGGACAGAGCCCAACACCCCTGTTTGAGACTGGGAGCTATGGTACGATCAGACACTATAGAGTATATTTGTCATTACTGACTGGAGGAAGAGTAAATATAGGAGGACGCATCTCTTCGCACAGCACTGTAAACTTAATACAGCAGCTTCTATGTCAGATTAAATGTGGTACAAGAGCCAGAGACAGAGCTGCGGATAAACTCTCACATCTATAATCTCACATCTGTAAATAATATTCCAAGTTTACGTAAACAACTTGGCTGTTTATTTTTATTCAAATCCAGTATTTAAATGACATTTGCTGCAAAGTAATGTTCCCCATCATGATCCGTTATATTTCTATTCAATTCAGCTGCATGCTTTTTGTCAACTTTTAAAAATCCAGTGAATTTGATTTGATTTCATTATTTCCCTTCCGTCCCGTCCCCCCCCGTCCCCCGTCCCCCGTCCCCCCCCCCCCTCTCCCTCCAGCTCCTGTTTACTTTGACCTTCTGGCTTTTAGTGCGTCAGTCAGTGAAGGAAAACTTCAGCAGGAAGAGGAAAATGAACACACCACTGCAGGAGGTCACCACAGGAGGTCAGATGTCCTTCACACACACACACACACACACACACACACACACACACACACACGGCACCCAAGCCCCCATTATGTCTCACATCGCTCAACCTGCTGACTCGTCACGTCCACTGTCCTGAGACTATTGATGCGATTAGTCTGCACGCTCGGCCCGGTTTGATCGTTCGACATCAACATCTAACTGCTTTCCTTCCTCTCCGGTCAAGGGGGGGCTGGTGAGGAGTCGGTGCTGAAGGTCCTAGGAGGCATGGTGATGGGCTGTTGGGCAAAATACTGGATCTATGTGTGCGGAGGGATGTTCATCATGGTCTCCTTTGCTGGAAAGCTTGTTGGATACAAAATCGTCTACATGCTGCTGTTCTTGATCTGCCTGTGTCTGTATCAGGTAGGAACCGGCTCACGGAGCAATGGTCCAGTCCCGCCTGGTGTTTCATCGTTAACACTCATTCTGATCCAGAACTATGTCCCAGTGGAGCCTCAGTATTTTTCTAGTTTCTTGCTTCTTGAGTTTTAACGGGGTTGTTGTCAACGCTCTTCAGACTTACATTCGAATTCCCCCAAATGTGTATTAATCAAAGATCCCTGTCCCCAGGTGTACTATTCTCTGTGGAGACGTCTGCTGAAGCTCTTCTGGTGGCTCGTGGTGGCCTACACCATGCTGGTGCTGATATCCATCTACACCTTCCAGTTCGAAGACTTCCCTGGATACTGGAGGAACTTCACTGGTTTCACCGAGGAGCAGTACGTTCTTTCCCTAAAGTATCTGCGCCTGTTCTCTTTCAGCTTTAAAATATAGTGGTTGAAAGACACAAACTAAAAAGTGCGTTCGGTCCTCCTCAGGTTGGCAGCGGTGGGCCTGGAGACGTTTGCTCTGTCTGAACTCTTCAGCAGCATTCTGATCCCCGGCTTCTTCCTGTTGGCCTGTATTCTGCAGCTGCACTATTTCCACAAACCCTTCATGAGAATCACGGACCTGGAGCATGTGACACCGATACACAAGTAACACGCCCGTCTCACTGCTGACACCTTATTTAAAGCCCCAGTGAAATGAGAGTGCGATTGGCTCTACTTGACCATCTGGCGGGCGACTTATTCCCGAGTGAAACGGAATATCTCTGTGGGGGGATTGGTCACAAATTGAATCCACATCCACTGAGAGATTTTAATTAGATTGTGAAAAGGTCAAAGGGTACATTCATTAATGAGACTATTGCCACATTATCTGGAGTTTTTACCAGCTAACAAAACAAACACCTCCTCTTAACTGTATAACTAAGTAAATGATTCAAACTAATGTTTTAACTAACAATTCATTAAATTAAAAAACTATTGTGAATTAAAGTCTTGAAAAACGATACGATTGATTAACACGAGCAGCGTGTTGACTGTAATGTGTCTCCTGCTAGCAGCCAATACAAGTTGCCTTCTACCATCATGTATGAACTAGGAATGCCACACTGTCGCTCTGCAAGAACTAACGACACAATCTGCCTCCAGGAACAAACCCGACGGTGGAACCGAGCCGCCGGTGGGCCTGAGCCGTGAAGAGGGCGCCCGGGGGGCCGGCGGTGACGAGGAATCTGAAGACGAAGGTAAGAAACAACAGCGGCAGTTTAGAAATCCATTACTTCATTTATTTATTCATTCATTCATCATCATGTATCTGTAATCGTTTTTATTTCCCCCGTGTGCATCCGGATGGTCACCACGATAGTCGGGAACTGTATTCAAGTACAGGTGAACAACCGAGCAGCACCTTTATGAAACAGATCGGCTTTTCTCTCTCTGCCACAACTCATTCAGCGCCGACTGTTAAATTGCAGATGAGCCCCAGTTTTCCTATGAATCTTCCAGGCTAAATGAAATGAACCTTCATACAAGTAGCCTGGTTAGACGCACACACACATTCTGCATCAACAGCACATGTTGTTCCAAGAGGCATCAGGTAATCCTTGCATAGCTGTTACAATAATAGCAACGTATCTAGCAAGCTTTCATATTTATACCTCAATATAAATAGTGCAGCAGCACCTAGTGGTACTTTCTGGTGCTCGTGCACAGCATCACCCTACGTCACGTCTCTGAGACTTTTATCGGAGGCGGATTTGACGATCACAGACGTTACTTTCGTCGGTCTAATCTTAGTTTGGTTCGATGAATCGGGTTGTTTTGCCCCTCGTTCAATCTGTTTGTTTTGTTCAGTTTGCGAACGCTTGTTTGGAGTTTATTTCATGTATGATATTATCAGCCAAAGCACTTCTGGAACTAGGAAACGCGTTGGAATGCTGAAAGATTAAAGCTGAAAGCTAAAATTAAAAACAGTTGCTGAAAATGCAGAAATGAGAAAAGCTGAAATGGATTTCAAAAATTGCTGAAAATACAGACATGATAGTAGTAGTAGTAGTATAGTAGTATGTGTAGTGTAGCTTCGCCTTCTGCTAAATTTTACCTACATTGCACTTTTAACCTCTGTCTTTAATTAAACAATTTAAATAAGATTTTAATTTATAATTTTATTTGCTGTTTTTAATTGTATTTTAATTCCTGCATTTTATTTCACACTATTGTATGAAATGTTATGATGTGAAGCACTTTGAGTCTGCCTTGTGTATGAAAAGCGCTATACAAATAAACTTGTCTAGTGAAATTAGTGGTAGTGGTAGTAGTTAGTGGTAGAGCCAGAATAAACTATTCAAATTAGCCAGAAAGAGTTTAAATACTGTTCACTTAATATCTCAAACAAAACCAACAAAGACAATAGACATGTGGGACTAACTTGTAACATTCGGGAGGTCAGTGTAAAGGTGTTAACCTTAAAAGGTAAATAGTCACAAAATACAAAGAATAACAATTCAAAGAAACCAATCAAATCACAGCAAATAAAAGGACTAAAACAAACCACGACCGATCACCGTGTCACTGCCTTCAACACAGCAGAAAGATAAAAAGGCCCATCGGCTTATTAAAAGCCTACTTTATACACTAAATAGGGGGGAAACAGTGGTTGTCTCCAATGTCTGTTTGAAATCTACCTGTACTTGCTCACGGTCCCTCCCACAACTGGAACAGGTGATTTAGGTAATTGCCAAACGCCAAGCAAGACTGATAAACAGTGTATTCATTTAAAGTTATTAGCTAAAAGATATGCAGGGTTATAATCCTGTTATTAGGTTCCCAAAATGTCCCGTGTAAGACCCGAATACCTTCAGGTCCTGCCAGACTGCAGTGATCAGCTGATGGGGAACAGCTGTGATGCACAGACAGAGACAGCAGGTGTGTTACCACGGTAACAGCTGCTCAGAGGACAGAGAGACAAACACTAATGGAACATAATCAGTGATCATGAGAAGAGTAAAATAAATATCAACAAGCTGTTAGAAAATGGTTTAGACTTTTGTCAACTTTTTAAATTTTACATGGTGTCTGCAGCTGAAAGAAGCGGAAGGATTTGAAAGTTGAAGAAGTTTAAGAGGATTTGAGAATAAAAAACGTTTATGAATTTGTTTTATATTAATTCAAGCATAAGAAGTAGAACGGTGAAAAGTCATAGCAGGAATGTCCTGAAGGAGCTGAACACTTTAATATATAAAAGCTTTAATATGCTGAGGCAGCATTCCAACAATAAGAGGGAAATAATTGATCCAAATGACAGCAGGTGGAGGACGATGATTCCTCCGATGGATTTGGTGCTTTGGACTCTTTTGTCAATTTTGAGCAAGAAGTGGGCTTCACTTCATGTTTGTTTTGTTAAAACGTATGCTGATTTGGATGATGTTGTATTTCTATGTGAGCACATTCTTCTCAGCTGTTTTCTGTTTTCACTCCTGTCTTCTGTTACTCAGCCTCTCACGCGCGTTCTTCATCCATCCCTCCTCTTGTGTTCCTTTGCTCAGCGGAGTTGCTGCCCAGTAAGTGGGGGCTGGTGATGGACAGGCTGCTGGTTCTGTCCAGTAGGTTTTCTGACATTCTCACAAAAGTCCAAGTGTTTCTCTGGAGGCTTCTGGAGCTCCACATCCTCAAGATGGTGGCCTTCTTCTCTGTGTGGGTTTCACTCCAAGAGGTAATTTATCCTGTTCGTCCATCCAGAGGTTTAATGTACCAGTGCAGTGACCAGTAGAAATGATGTGTTTAAGGCTGCTGCCTGATGCAAGGTATCATCCAACCTTAATAAGACCAAGGCCATTGAGCCAGCCAGGAGTTATATATAATATATATTAGAGTGCTTGGTGACCTTGACATTGTCCTGTTTCCTTGTAGCCATCCGTGATGAACCTGGTCCTGGTGGTGTTGTGGTCTCTGGCGATGCCCTACAGTCGCTTCGGCCACATGGCTTCCTGTTTGTCAACAGTCTGGGTGTGCGTCATCATCGTGTGCAAGATGCTGTACCAGCTCAGCGTTGTCAACCCCGCTGAGTACTCCAGTAACTGCAGCCTGGTGAGGTCCACATGCACACACACCAGCAACACGCGCCCAAAAGGCAGTATGGTGTGTTTGTTTAAGCCATTGCCGTTACACTGGAATCAATGTATTGACAGAGAGAGAGAGAGACACTTACATAGGTAATGACAATCATTAATTATTAAACTGCCTAATATTACTAATAAACTTTCTAGAACCAGTATGAAATGTTATAAACGGGATTTAACCTTTCTAGGGCGTGTGGGAGCTTGTTTAAAACTATATATAAACCTGTGGCCCAGTATAAAATTTCGGTTTGGGGAGAGAATATATATTTTTTTAAGCGGGCTCCGGGCTCTCTTGGTGTTCTTTTTTTGGGAACATGTTCTCTCGAGGAGAAAATTTTCCAACCGGCCCCCTTTTGTTGGGGGGGGGGGGGGGGGGGGCAGGTGCTCAAACCAAAACAAAAGGGCAAAATGATTCATGAAAAAATAATAATTAAAGAAAAAACACAGTAAGATATTTTTAACTTACATTTTAATTTGTGTTAATAAACTCAAATTGAATAAATAAATGAATAACAGCCCAAAACAGACAAAACAAGGCCATATTGTAATTAAGCAATAAGTTTACGAGAGGCTGTACTTTATCATCAATACTGTTACAGTTCGATGATGTTCGTTACTACAAATAGGAAGTTAAAAGCTGCCTTGCAGCAGAAAATACTTGCAGCCACACGTGGTGTAGCACATTTATTTGCGTAGTGTAGATGAAATAGCCCACAGCAACAGCCACTCAGCATGTAAACATCACGTTTGTTGGCCGAGCACGAGAAGTCTGTTGATGATGTTATGGAATATTTCAATAAAAGCTCGGCAGAAGAGAATGATTTGTCTGATAAAACAGAGTCTTGATGAATGATCAAAGTTGCAAAAAGTTCATTTATTGCTTGCAAGCAGGAGGTCAAATACACAGGCACGTATCACGGTGCTCTGTGGAAATGGCGTCCCCGAGCAGTAAGAACGCTGAGTTTTTATACACATATGAGGAACATTCTCCGTGCCCGTTACGAGAAGCTGCAAAGCAGGTTGAGATAAGAACCCAGGTGAAGCTGAGGGTAGCACACACACACACAAGATCCTCCTCAGTGGCCGATGCAAATCATTATTAATTGACATAAAGTAAAAAATGTGGATCCGGAACTTTCGTACAGAATAAGATATGAACCAAGGCCATGAACAGAAGTCCTTTGTTTTGAAGCGTCTATGAGATCGAGTCGACCGTCCTCCCTTCTCAGGGCACAGCTGCAAAGCAACATTTTGTATCATGCTGCTCTTTGCACATCAGGGTCAAAGACACGGCTTTAGCACAAAACAATGTTATAATATATTTTTACCATTACAATGATCAGCGAGGAGATCGACATTCATTTGTGCGTCGTCTGAAAACATCCCAGGTCTCTCATTCATTCACATCGCTCATGATGTCCACCTGAATGGTCCTCTTTAGCTAAGGGTTAGGGTTAGGGTTAGGGTTAGCCTAACCCTAACCCTAACCCATCGGCAAAATGATTCATGAAAAAATAATTAAAGAAAAAACACAGTAGGATATTTTTAACTTACATATTTATTTTTGTTAATAAACTCAAATTGAATAAATAAATGAATAACAGCCAAAAACAGCCATAACAAGGTCATATTGTAATTAAGCAATAAGTTTACGAGGGGCTGTACTTTATCATCATTACTGTTACAGTTCGATGATGTTCGTTACTACAAAGAGGAAGTTAAAAGCTGCCTTTCAGCAGAAAATAGTTGCAGCCACACGTGGTGTATCACATTTATTTCTGTAGTGTAGATGAAATAGCCCATAGCAACAGCCACTCAGCATGTAAACATCACGTTTGTTGGCCGAGCACGAGAAGTCTGTTGATGATCAGCGAGGAGATCGACATTCATTGTGTCCTCTGTGTCACGGTGTGGTTCACTTCCTGTCTTATTTTGTAGTTTTCTGCCACTCGTGTCCCCGGGTAACTTCACTTCCTGCCTTGTCTCGTCATCCCCTGTGTTCGTCTAATAGTTTCCACCTGTGTCCAATCACCTGCACCTCCCTTGTGTATTTAAGCAGTGTGTCTCCTGTGTCACTTGTCGCGTCATTGTCTTTCGTCTTGGATCGTCGTAGTCTCTTGCCTGTGTGCGTTTGCCCCCAGTTCCGGTGTTTTTTGATCCTTGTGACTATTAAAGTCTTTTGTTTGCCGCAAGTCTGCGTTTGAGTCCTGCCTTCCAACCTCACACCCTGACAGAATGACGCGACCAAAGAAGGGCTCAGCAGACCCGCTGCCAGACTACGGTCCGGACTACCTGGACGTAAGGAGTCCCTTCTGGCAGCGGAAAACAAACTGTGTTTTTGGTCCCAGGAGCTATCAGCTCGCCTGCCTCGAGCTCCGGGACCTCCTTAACCCTAGGAGGAGCAAGCGGAAGAAGCGATCTCCCGTTCCCGCTGGGCCGCCGCAGCGATCTCCCGTTCCCGCTGGGCCGCCGCAGCGTTCTCCCGTTCCCGCTGGGCCGCCGCAGCGTTCTCCCGTTCCCGCTGGGCCGCCGCAGCGTTCTCCCGTTCCCGCTGGGCCGCCGCAGCGTTCTCCCGTTCCCGCTGGGCCGCCGCAGCGTTCTCCCGTTCCCGCTGGGCCGCCGCAGCGTTCTCCCGTTCCCGCTGGGCCGCCGCAGCGTTCTCCCGTTCCCGCTGGGCCGCCGCAGCGTTCTCCCGTTCCCGCTGGGCCGCCGCAGCGTTCTCCCGTTCCCGCTGGGCCGCCGCAGCGTTCTCCCGTTCCCGCTGGGCCGCCGCAGCGTTCTCCCGTTCCCGCTGGGCCGGCCCGACTCTCAGCCGTGCCCCCGACCCCCGAGCCAGCGCCACGTTCCATGCCCCCGACCCGACCAGTTCCGGCGCCACGTTCCATGCCCCCGACCCGACCAGTTCCGGCGCCACGTTCCATGCCCCCGACCCGACCAGTTCCGGCGCCACGCTCCATGCCCCCGACCAGTTCCGGCGCCACGCTCCATGCCCCCGACCAGTTCCGGCGCCACGCTCCATGCCCCCGACCAGTTCCGGCGCCACGCTCCATGCCCCCGACCCGACCAGTTCCGGCCCCACGCTCCATGCACCGCGACCCGACCAGTTCCGGCGCCACGCTCCATGCCC